ACCTTAATACACGAATCTAATGGTGAGATCTCTAAGAATCAAGCTCAAAGATCCACTCCTTCACTCTAAAACTCCTTCTAGAGCTTCTCTCTCTCAAGACAAAGATATGATACAAAATGATAAGTTCTACTCACTGCCGGCTGATTTAACACTCAGCTCGGACACGTGGCAATGACTGGTTGGTTCTCCCCGAAAAGGTGGCTGACAGACCAGACAAAGTATGGCGAAAGGGTGTTTAACAAGTAAAGCAGCATGGCACTCTAACAAGATACTGACATCGGGTGAAAACATCGGCTCCGATAGGTGAGGTATCTATGATCCCGGCTAGGACGGACAACACTTGGCCTAGCTGTGCCACACCTCGGCCCAGATGTGCCACACCTCGGTCTAGGTCGTACCAATCCGGAACAAGATCACTTGGGTTCAAGGATAACATCTCGACCTAGATGATACACCTCTCGGCCTTGATGATACACCTCGGCCTAGAAAATGACATCTCGGCCAATATGCCAAGACGAAGGTAGAGGTCAACCAAAGTGGTTTCAAGGTGGTTCTGGCTTTAAGGTGACCTCGGCTAGGCTCCCCAGAAAGAACAAGACTCAACAAGTAAATTTCACATAAGTACAAACCAAGACAAAAATCTCATTCTAGATAAGACAAGTCAAGAAAATTCACTACCGCAACTTAGCAAAACAAGATTACACAAATGCTCATGCCCGAGGCTAAGGTGGGAAATGAGGGTCACTACATATATGGTAAATATGCTTTGTCAGACTGTGATTGGGAATATTGACTAAAGGGTTGAGAATCAACTAGGTCAACTAATTCTAAATAGTGCATATGTTCCTCAACAAGTTATCTTTTAAGGGGCATTTATTTTGAAATTGTTCTAACTATTGTTTAAGTTGTTTATTTTCTAATGTTAAAATTTCTATGTCAAGGTTAGTTCTATTTTTCGATCTCATGTACTTGTAGTTTAAGTTCTTTGACTTGTATATCTAATTCTCTAATTCGTAGTTGTAATTCTCTATTTTCTAGACTATAATCTTCTCCCATCTCCTCTTTATTTTCTAGTGTTACTTTATCTGTCATATTCAATTTTTCTAAACAAATTGTACAATAAGTTACAATACATAATATACATTGAGTTATCTTATTTTTAGCTAGAAACCAATTACAATAACTGCATCGGGTGGTATTAAATTCTAGTCCAATCATAAAGTTATGCTGACATTCATTAGCTGGATTGCATTCTTCTGTCATCATAAAGAAACCATTATGGGAAGAAGGTATTCCTATGTCTTGGTTAAGTTGTCCTAAAAGATTATCTATAAAGAAATCATTATAAATGGCTAGTCATGCCTTTTTATGATAACATTTACATTCGATTTGATGTTGACGCTGAGAAGCTAATAGGAACTCCAATGCCTTCAAACCCTAAAATTCTCTCCGAGGAGAGCATTTTGTATTTTGGAGAATGTTGTGGCTATATATTTACTTCTTGTTCAGACTTGTCAGTGCTGTGATATGGGATTCAGAATTTTTGAGATGGAGAGGGACTACTGTTATTGGATTGAGAAGTACTAGGTCAATCTTAGACCCATAATATCTCTTTTTCTTGAGATAGAGAGAAGCAGACATGTGTAAACCACCCGTCATTAGGAAAATTGCTAAGCTATATGTGTTAGCTTTTGATAAAACTCTCTCTAGAATGAACTATTATTTTGTATTGAAGTTTTCTCTCTTATTATTCATATCCTCTGCCGATAGCTTACATCCTTTTATATAGAGAAGGTTATACATAAGTTCAATGAATAAGATCCATGAACCTAAACAACCTTGCAATTAACTAGGTATATGAATATAATCTAGACAATGTACTTAATAAATATAAAATACATAAATATAAAAATACATGAATACAAAGAATGTATGAACTCAATGTATCCAATGCATGCAATGTATCCAATGTATCTAATGTAAATATGGCATTAATTTTAACATTCCCCTTTAATGCCATATTGTGTGACACCCAACATTTCTCTAAAAAATTCAAACTTGTCCCTTGGTAGAGCTTTGGTGAAGATGTCCACAACTTGATCTTCAGTCTTGCAATACTTGATTTGAATCTCATCATCTTCCACAGTTTTTCTAATGAAATGTTGTTTGATAGTAATGTGTTAGGTACGAGAATGGTAGACGGGATTCTTTGCCATAGCAATAGCAGACTTGTTATCACACATAATTGGAGTAGCTTCACCTTGCTTCTCACCAAAATCATCCAAAATTCATCTTAGCCAAATTGCTTGTGTAGTTGCCAATGATGCTGAAATATATTCGGCTTTAGCAGATGATTGTGCCACAGTTTGTTGTTTCTTGGATGACCATGAAATTACGCCCGATCCAAGAGAAAATGCATACCCAGAAGTGCTTCTCATATTATCAACACATCCGGTCCAATCACTATCACAAAATCAAAGTAACTTTGCATCAACAAATTTCTCATAAAAATTCCATAATCAAGTGTACCTTGAATGTATCTCAACACTCTTTTTGCAACCCCAAAATGAATTTGGCTTGGACTGTGCATGAACCAAGACAATAAACTTGTAGCATACATGATGTCCAGTCTTGTAGCAGTTAAGTACAACAAACTTCCAACCAAACTTCTATAAAAAGATGCTTCAGCTTATTTGCTTCCATCTTCCTTTGACAACTTTTCATTCACAATCAAGGGAGTAGCAACTGCTTTGCAATTCTTCATTTTGAATTTCTCAAGAAGTGTTTGACCATACTTCTTTTGGCAAATAAAAACACCACCATTATTTTGGTAGATTTCAATGCCCAAAAAATAATGCAATATCCCCAAATCACTCATTCCATATTTCTTCATCATCTTCCTTTTAAAATCTTCAATCAATTTTTCATCAGTACCAGTAAAAACCAAATCATCAACATAAAGTGAAACAATGAGAATACTGGTTGTACCTTGCCTCTTGATGTAGAAAGTTGGCTCACTTTTGCTTCTTTGAAAACCATTTTCATTGAAGTAAGCATCAATTTCACTATACCATGCCTGGGGTGCTTGCGTTAGGCCATATAAAGCCTTCTTCAACTTGTACACTTTATCTTCTTTGCCTTTGGCAACAAAGCCTTGATGTTGATCAACATACACCTCTTCTTCTAATTTTCCATTTAAAAATTCTGATTTTACTTCAAGTTGGTGCAAGAACCAACCCTTTTGAGCTACCAAAGCAATGATAGCTCTAATTGTATCAAGTCGAGCCACAAGAGCAAAAGTTTCTTGGAAATCAATTCCAGGTTGTTGTGAATACCCTTTTGCCACAAGTCTTGCTTTGTTCTTTTGAATAGAGCCATCAGGATTGAACTTTGTTTTGAAAATCCACTTCACACCAATTATTTCTTTTTCTTTCGGTTTCTCCACTAACTCCCAAGTCTTGTTCTTCTCAATCACATGAATTTCATCTTCCATTGCTTTCTTCCATGCTTCATCTTTAATTGCCTCTTCAAAATTTTTAGGTTCAACAATGCATAAATTGCATCTTGCATACACATCACTAAGACTCCTTATATTTCTTGGAGTTGAACTTGGAGATGAAGAACTTGAACTTGAACTTGAACTTGAACTCGAAGAAGATTGTGAACTAGCAATTGGTGACACTCTTTGTGGAGATTCAAGAGTTGCAACATCTTCAACTTGTGGACTTTCCGATTCTTCATTGAAAGCAATGCTTTGATCTTGGACTTTCTTTTCTTCTCATCAAAGAGCACATCTCTACAAATAATCACCATCTTTTGATCCAAACTGAAGAGTCCATAGCCTTTGGATTTCGAGCTATAACCCACAAAGATGCATTTCGTACTATTTTCATCAAGCTTATGCCTTACTTCTTTTGGAACATGAGCATAACAAATGCAACCAAACACCTTCAAGTGATTCACCGATGGTTTCCTTCCACTCCAAGCTTCAAATGGAGTTTTGTCCTTAAGAGCTTTTGTAGGACACCTATTCATCAAGTAAACTGTTGTATACACGGCCTCACCCCAAAAAGTTTTGGGTAGCCCCTTCTCCTGTAGCATACACTTGGACATCTCCTCTATGGTTCGATTCTTCCTTTCTGCCACACCATTTTGTTGTGGAGTGTACCCAACAGTCAATTGCCTTTCCATTCCAATATCTTCACAAAATTTCATAAACTCATTTGAGTTGTATTGTCCGCCTCTGTCACTTCTCAATACTTTCATCAAACAACCACTTTGTCTTTCAACAAAATTTTGAAATTTCTTGAAGATAGAGAAAACTTCATTCTTTTGTCTCATGAAATACACCCAAGTCATTCTAGAAAAATCATCAACAAAGATAATGAAGTACTTGTTACCTCCATGAGTTGGTGTATCCATGGGTCCGTACACATTGGTATGGACAAGCTCCATTGGTGCTTTAGCTCTCCATGCTTTCTCCTTTGGAAATAACTCCCGGTGATGCTTTCCAAGTGCACAACCTTCACAAATATGTTGCGCTTCATGAATGGTTGGCAACCCAAAAACCATATTCTTTTGTTGTAGATGCTTCAGGCTTTGAAAATTCAAGTGCCCAAATCTTCTATGCCAAAGCCATGAATTATCATTCACATCCATCTTCAAAGCCACATTTTTGCTATACCGAAAAATGAGAGGAAAACTTCTATTCTTCTCCATCTTGATTTTTGCTACAACTTGGCTTTTCCCCCCTTTGTCAAAAATTTTTCAAAAATCGTCTTCAAAGTGAACAAGATATCCATGCTCCATAAGTTGTCCAACACTTAGAAAATTTTGCTCCAAGTCTGGAACTAGGAGAACATCGGAAATGAATCTTGTACCCATCTTGGTTTCTATAGCAATAGTACCTTTTCCTTTTGTTTGGACTAAGGCACCATTTCCCATTTTTACTTGAGAACTGGAGGAAGCATCCATTTTCACAAAAATGCTTTCATCTCTTGTCATGTGATTGCTACATCCGCTATCGAGAAACCATACATCCTTGTTTTGATTTGACGCCTTGTGACAAGCATAGAACATGTGCCCTTCATTTTCTTGCTCCTCGGAAAAATTAGCTTGTTGAGTGCTGTTGACTTGGCAATCCTTATTGACATGCCTAAATTTGTTGCAATTGTAACATTTTGGCTTTCCTCGAAACCAACAATCTTTATCAACATGATTGCTTCGGTTGCAAATTCCACACTTTTGTTGAGTGGACTCTTCATTTTCCTTTCTTTGAAAATTAGACCTTCATCTTCCTCTTGCATTTCTTTCTCTTCCAGTTGCATTTCTTCCTCTTCCTCTTCCTCTTCTTCTTCCTCTTCCTTGGGAATTAGAGGTACTAACATTAAGCTTGGATTGAAAGGCACTTTCAATTGACTTTTCAGATTGCCTACTCAACATTTGCTCAAATGTTTTAATTGAACCCATCAAATCTTCAATACTCAAATCAGCAAAATCTTTAGTTTCTTCAATGACAGCAACAATAGGATTGAATTTCTCCGGCAAACTTATCAAAAAAAGTTCAACAACTCTTTGATTAGTAATATTATCCCCATAAATTTTCATTTGGTTTACAAGTTCCATAACTCTAGAAAAATAATCCTTCAACAATTCTATGTCCCTCATCTTTAAATTTTCAAAATCTCTTTTCAATGATTGAAGTTTGATGGTTCTTACCTTCAAGTTGCCTCTATACTCTTTCTGAAGAATATCCCATGCCTCCTTTGCTTTTGTTGCATTGATAATTCTTGGAAAGATTGCTTCTGAAACTCCTTGTTGAATAAAAGAGAGAGCCTTTGAATCCTTCTTCCTTTGCTCTTTTAATTGGTTCTTTTGGGAATTTGTCAAAGCTTCTTCATCTTCAGGTTCCTCGAACCCATTCTCAACAAGATCCCAAAGCTCCGTATAGACAAAAATAGTTCTCATTTTCACATACCAAAAATCAAAATTTTCACCATTAAAGATAGGAGTAGATACATTTTGGTTGTTGGGATTCGCCATGGACGTCGGTTTGTTCTTGTTCGGGTCTTGTTTTCCCGTATCTGATCTCTACGCCCAACTTGTTCTTGACCCAACCAAAGCTTTGATACCACTTATGTTAGCTTCTGATAAAACTCTCTTTAGAATGAACTATTATTTTGTATTGAATTTTTCTCTCTTATTATTCATATCCTTTGCTCAAAGGCTTACATCCTTTTATATAGAGAATGTTATACATAAGTTCAATGAATAAGATCCATGAACCTAAACAACCTTGTAATTAACTAGGTACATGAATATAATCTAGACAATGTACTTAATAAATATAAAATACATGAATACAAAGAATGTATGAACTCAATGTATCCAATGCATGCAATGTATCCAATGTATCTAATGTAAATATGGAATTAATTTTAACAATATGGTGTGAAGGGAGAAAATGAAAAAGATTTTACGTTGGTGTTATCTATTCCTGGCAAAATTTTTCCTACAATCTAAAGTGCAAGACAGTGAAGGTAATTTGGTGGTGTTTGTTTTGAAGGATTGGCGCATAGGATTGGACTATTAGTCCGGATGGACTAATAGTTTGTTGTTTGGTAATCAATTTTTACTCCGGACTATTAGTTTCATATTTGTTGGATTATTCTATCCCATGGGGGCAGATAGAAATCATGAGATCACTCATTCCATGGGATTAGCTTATGAAATTACATTTTTGACAATCTTGTATTTAATATCTTTTTTTAGTGTTGTTAATTTGAAATTCTATATTAAATAAAAAATATAAATTATAAATTTAATTTAATTAAAAATTATGGCCTTATAAATTAAAATTTTTTAGTGGTGCTAAATTATAAATTATAGATTACAAATTTAAAATTATATATTAAATAAAAAAAATATAAATTATAAATTACAATGGTAAAATAATCTTTTAAACATTTATCCTTATCTAGTCTGTCTAACCAAACATTGAATTCACTAAAAATAGTCCAATCCAGACATCTAATCCCATGACTAAACAAACATATAATATAAATCTAATCCAACCAAATAGTCCATAAATAATGTATCACAAGATTAACAATCCGATAAATTACAATCCCCCCTCATTCAGTCCGTCCAAACAAACATGTGATTACCAAACTGGCTTTTATGAATGTCCTAGTTACAAGCACGTTTCTTGTGCATATGCTTTTGGGTATATTTATGAATTCTGTGAAAGCATGTCCACTGTTTGAGCATGTTCTACATGTTAGAACATATGTACCTTTTGTAAGCTGCTTCTTGTTCTAAAGCTTTTGTAATACTGTTACTTTTTTTTTTTTTTTTTTTTTTTTTTTTTTTTTTTTTTTTTTTTTTTGCTTTTTTTTCTTTTAAGAATTTTGTAATGTTTAAGCTATGTGCTTAATGTAGTTCATCCTTGTGAAAGTCAGTGATGCCTTACCATTTGGGGATTTATACTTGAGTAAATAATTATCTTTGTTTTTGCTGCTTTAGTTTTTGCAGTTTATTCTTTAAATGAAAATTTCTAAGATCAATTGAAAGATAGGATAGCTGTGGGAATTGATAACGAACCGTATCAAAGAGAATATTACATAATGAAGAAATAAGGGAAGAACAATTTGAAACTCCTACAATTCACCTCAAAATATTGCACATAGGTCATAGGTCTCGTTTGGAAACAGGCTATTTTAGTAATTTTTTTACTTTTTAGCTAAAATATAGATGAAAAAAAATTAGTATGTTTGGAATAACTTTTTGGTTTTTTACGAAAAGATGTGCAAAAAATAGAGAGAAAATATAATCTTTGACTTTTTGATATAAGTTATAGGCTTTTTGATTTTTTTAATAATTTTTTAAGTTTTACGCTAAAACTGTTACATGTCAAACGAGGCCTTCTTGTTCACATGCTTATAAGTTAGCATGATAAGCAGTATTGTTCCATCTATTGCTGTATGTAGTGCATGTTTTGTTGCTAAATGGAAGTCAGGTACCAATGTTGCATACAACTTACAAGAACTAAAGAAGCCGAGGTTTGAGACTTTCATAGGAGAGTTTTTGTCAAATTTTATCAGAAAATCTAGGAGCCCAAAGAGTCCCAGATTTGTGTCAAGAATGATAATGTGTAGTGGAAATTAAAAGCATGTGTTGTAAAATTCATATATAGATTGAATCTGAATGACACATTGATATCTTTAGATAATTTCTAAATAATTTTTTTGAATTTGTAGTATAATTGAAATTTAATACTAATATTTTACTTAGGTAAAGTATGACCAGTAACTGCTGAGAAGTGACTCACCACCGAGGGTGGTTGTCCAGCGATTTTTCGGACTTTTTACACGCAAGTTGTTTGGGTTTGTAACTTAGGAGTGTATAAGTTTTTAGACAAATATATTGTACTCTTGTCGTAAAGTTCTATAATCCTTGTTGTGGAGTGGGTTTGGAACCCATTGTTACCTCGATGGGGGATCTTTTTCTTTGAGTTGAAATAAATTTGAATGTCAATAGATTATCCTAGAATCAGAACCTGCAGAAGGTATGATGACTCACGATTTTTTTTTCTTAAAAAAAAAAAAAGACAAATTATACTAATGGTCCCTATAATTTGGAACTAGTGTCACTTTAGTCCATGACTTTTCAATTGTGACACATTTGACCCTAAATTTTGAATCTTCTTCCAAATAAGGACAATTGCAGATACCATTGCTTAATTTTAAGGGCAAAATCGTCAATTTGATGAAATATAAACTAACTTGACAAAAATAAATGTCAAAAAAATATTTTTGAATTTTTAAAAATTATTTTTACCTACTAAAGATAAAATTATGTAAAATTGATAAATTTTTTAGACATTTTTTTTTTTACCAAATTAATTTTTATTGTGTATTTAGATGATGATCATGTAATGGATGGTTTTTTTTATTTTCTTTAAATTAGTTTCTATTTTTTCAAAAATCAAATATGCCTACAACTTTGATATCATTATTAAACCAATCCATTAAATCAAAAAATTCAAAACTAAAAAAAAATTATATATTAAATATATAGATTACACATTAAAATCCTAACACCCACCCATTATATAATCATAATCCAAACACATAATAAAAATTAATTTGGTAAAATAAATAAATAAATAAATGTCTAAAAGATATATCAAGTTTATATAATTTTATCTTTGGTTGGTAGAAATAATTTTTTAAAATTTAAAAATATTTTTTTGACATTTATTTTTGTCAAATTAGTTTATATTTTATCAAATTGACGATTTTACCCTTGAAATTAAGTAATGGTATCTTCAATTGTCCTTATTTAAAATAAGATTTAAAATTCAAAATCAAATGTGTTATAATTAAAAAATCAAAAACCTAACTGACACGGGTGCCAAACTATTGGAACGGTTAGTGTAATTCACCAAAACATAAAAAAAAAAAAAAAAAAAAAAAAAAAAAAAAACAAACAAACAAACAAACAAACAATTGAAGTGACTCAGTAAAGTTCACTTCATTACTCACAAATTTAATGATGCAATCTATTGAGCATGTAATTAAAGTCATTCTCTGCATTATTGATTATTATCCCAATAATTATCTTTCTTTTTTTTCTTTTTTTTTGAGGCACCCAATAATTATCTTTAATGAAGGCAGAATTAACAATGCTTTGGAGATAAAATTGAAAATGCCAATCAGGCCCGTCGTTCATCACATGCTCGGCCATTTGTACCATGGATGCATGTGGGCCTATTTAGCCTTTGTTTGGGAAGTCCATTTGGGGCATCCCTTTTTTTTTCTTCTTCTTCTTCTTCTTCTTCTTCTTCTTCTTCTTCTTTTTTGTCTAAAATAATCAAAAATAAATAAATAAAATAGGCTTTTTAGCCTAATAAAACAAAACATTACATCCAATTTATAATCATTACATTCTTTCTTTCACAAAAAGTCAAAAAAATCAAAAATTCCTTCCCAAACGAGACTTTTTAGCCCCAGGTTAAAATAGCCAAAAAAATCAAAAAGTCAACCCACTTTCCAAATGAACCCAGTATTCGGTTCATCAATTGCTAGAAGAATTTGAAAAAAAAAAAAAAAAAAAAAAAAAAAAAAAAAAGTGTATGAAATTAAGTGAAAGATATTTAGTCACATTTCTCTTATTTTATTTTATTTTATTTTTAAATTCTTTCTCAAAATTTTGAACCAAATACAAATTTCATATATTATGAGTCATATCAATCATAAATGTGATTGTCGCAATTCAAATTTTAATAATTTGTTTTTAAATTTGTATTGTTATTGATTCTAATTTATAAGAATAATTTTAGGTACACACTTTCTAAGTTTTAAAATTTCTTCTGAAAAATGATTGGATAGTTGTGATTGAATTTATGTGATGTAAGATTTATGTATAGAATAAATTTGAATTACAAAATAAAAATTTTAAATAATTTTTAAATTAATAAAGATAAAATTATAAAATTTTTCAATTTATAACCCATTTTATTTTGGGTTTATTGTTGAAAAAGTTTAAAGTAAGAATGGTATAAGATATTAGATTCAATAGATTTGTTTTCTTTTTATTCTTTTTTTTGTTAGTAAAAAGTCCATAATTTATAAAATAGTTTGGTAAGAAATCTTTTTACTAGTTTTGGAAGACATTTTGTTTCTAATTTTAGCTCTTAATTTATCTGTTGATTTTTTTTAATCTGTTAACTTTGGTTGACTATCTGTTCAAATTTTTATATCTATCTGTTTGAATTATGTTATATCTATTCAAATTTTATATTTATCTATTTAAATTTTTTTAACTATTTATTCAATTTTCCCCTTATCTGTTCAAATATATGTCTAAATTTTAACATTTGTTCAATTGTTTCATTTATCTGTTTAAATCTATCTATCTCAATTTTATTATCTGTTCATTTTTTCCTGAATTCTATCTATCAAAATTTTATCTATTGAAATTTTAATTATATTTGTCCAAAATCTATCTATGTGAAATGCCATTTTGTTTAAAATTTAGAT